AGGGGCTCCTGGCCGTACTACTAGGAACAAGAAGCTACTAGTAACAAACTCTGTGACCCTGTGATGCATACCGACGCTCGAGTCGTGACATCGCCCTTCCGATGAGTTCCGTGTGACCTGCAAAGTCCAAGACTCGCAGACTCGCTGAAGACATCCAGTCTAGTGAGCAGTCACAGTTCTGAAGAGTGTGTTTTTGTTGCAAGAAGTGATTCCACACTTCTCAGCTCCAATCTCATGAAGAGTGTTTCACCTTATTCCGTTGGAGGCCATCGCTGTGTTTCACCTTTAAAAGATAGAAACACTGTGGCTTCGCCTGGAACCTCCGCTGCGGAAGGTGAAGTTGAAACACCGTTGGATGGCTCAGGAGAACGCAAAGCATGGAAAGAGAGGGTGGGAGGGGAAGAAAATATGGACATGTAAGTGTGGCTTCAATTTTTCTTGGTAGTCCAGTTTCATTCAAAGTATCACAAATGTGAGATGTGTGTGTGTGTGTGCGCTCTTGAGGTTTCCCTGTGGTGTAGTCGTTGGGTGTTTGCAGTCACATACTTGAGGTCAAAGCTGAGCCCGCGTGACAAGACACATGCCTGAATTTAAGTCGCGAAGCTTGAGTTTCGATCGGCACCATGAAGTGATGAGTTTGGAAGCTCTCTGGGAAATCGTTCAGTTTCCACTTGGAATCCAAGACCACCTCAAGAAGATGTAAGAACCTGAAGCAAAACGCAGCTTCCACAAGGGCAAGATCTAAACAGTTCTAAGGTTGGAATAGCTTATCATCCTACACACGCTCTTTGGTTGGAGGCCATTGCTTCTAGGTTACTTGTAAGAATGCTAGTCAAGCTCAGAAGTGCTTGCCACATCTCAGCCAAGGAACGAGTTCGAAGTTCAGGACACAATTCCGCAAACGCTGGCCAATCTCAGGGAGGGTGACTGATCATTGTGAATGTTTTGTTGAGCACCCCATGCTACGCTGCTACTTCCAAATGCTGCACTCTTGTCAGGTGCAACTACATGTTTCGGACATGTGCTCGAAGTGCAAACTGTCAGAATTTCGGCAGATGCAACGGTTAAAGCCTTACCTTTGCTAGTAGGAACAAGTGCATCGCTAGTAAGTAACAAGTGCCTTACTAGTAGTAACAAGAAGCTATTAATTAGAATTCACGAGTGAGGCGTTGTTGCAGGAGGTTGATTTGGAATTTGCATACGATTGGGGATTGGAGCTCTCAGGGCACATGTCCATCAATCGCTCGGATCCCAAACACATGAAGCACACCGCTCAGAAGCAGTTCCGCGGAAAATGTTCCTGCCATTGGATCAAGCAAGTTCGTGAGTGCAGAGAAACGCCGTGCTCTTGCTGGTCGAATCATGAAGCTGCTGTCCATCGTGGCTGCCATGTTGATGTACCCGGTCCTCAGCAAGGATGAAGTGCACCACCTTCGAGGAGAACAGGAACAAGCAAACCAGGATGCCATTGGAGTTCCCGAAAAGGAACTTGCGGACACCAAGGGCAGAGGCGATGCACCGCAGGCAGATGAAGTTGGAGTTCCAACGGAAGAGGTGAAGCCAAATCCAGAAGACTCAGAAGAGCCAGAAGAGCCAGGGCCATTGGAGGGCAAGTGGGATGAGTTTGATGAAGCTGATGAAGAGCCGCTGGGTGAGTTCATGCCACGGTCCTTTGTCGCGTATCGTCCATACCGTCCATACCGTCCATACCGTCCATACCACCCTTACCACCCTTACCACCCTTACCCAAGGGGTGGTGGTTGTCGGAGGTGGGTGACCTGCTACCATGGCTACTACAGGGGCATTCGATGCTCAGGCGGCCGATACTGCACGCTTTGGCGCTGAAGGCCACGTGGGAAGAGGCCTCATTGGCTTCCACTGCTTTAAGCCACAAGCGCCTCGAACTTTGCAACTTTTGAGCAAATTTAGGAATTTTGCGGTTTACATACAGGGCAGGCAAGGGCGAGCGTTCCGACAGGTGAAACCTCGCATGTGTTTGCTAGCCGTTTCCTTTCTGTACAGAGAGCTTACCTTTGTGGCCGGCTCGATGTTAAGAAAAGACATCACTGACGGTCAGGCTGTAAGGTTGTGCTGCAGGTCACTCGCCTATTGATATGGGTGAGGATGTGAGGGTTAACAACATAAGCATACCTTGGGAAAAAATCAATCTTTTT